TGAACACTGGTATAACTAAAGGATTACTGAAGGAAATTTAAGAACAGATCAAGGATTTACTACCTCAAAGGAAAGGTCATTGAAAGATCGTATTACCAAAGCCTTCATATTCCAAGCTGTCTTAGAAAGGAAGGAGGTGGACTTCCTTTAAAAAACACTTTACAATTTGGTCATCACTGAAAATTCCCACTCACAGAAACATTTTTGTTAACTAAACAAAAGATTCCCACAAGATAAAAAAAAAATATCTATTCAAACATTTCAGAATATTCAGTGCTGTCCTTCTATCACTTTATCCAGGAATTGGAGGAGGTTCCTTTTCTTGGGAATTGCTGCTTCTTCATTTTCTAGGGCAGCTGCAAGCTAATCAAAACATTCCTGTTCTCCAAATACAAAAATGGTAAGTTTTTGGTAAACAATGTTTCTTTATTATCCATCCTCAAGACGCCACCCGTGGGGAAAGAATCACTCTCGCAGTTACTTGTATGCATCCCAAGGAAGGGTTTTCCAATCAATTATTCTGTACCAGAGTTTCTAAAATATTCCTTGTTGGCTTGCAGTCCACTTCCTCTTGTGTGCATGTGTGTGTTCATGTACATGTGGAGGGAGGCTCATGATATTTGATTTTTATTCTGTTGCTCTGTAAAATTGTAACAAGAAGAAAAGAAAATATTCTAGGCTACCAGCATGTACCTAGTTGACTTGAGGCAACTAGATGCTGAAGTCTGGGACAAAATCCTAGCACCAGTAAATTCAAAGGCAAAACCCCAGTGAATTCAGTAGAGATTTTGTACCTAGTTTCTAACTCAAAAGCAGAGGAAGAAAGAAGTCCACAAACAGACTGTACAACACACCTGGCCTCTCTGTTGAAGAAAGTTCCTAAGAGAGGAACTGGCGGAAGACACATTTTTATCCTTGCTCAAATGCTCTTCCTACTACTCTACATGCTTGTGGGTTTGGTTTTTATTTAAAATAGCTAACCCGCAACAAATAGGTCTCCTATTCCAACTTCATTAGAGAAAAAGAGTATAACGAGACAAGCTAGCTAGAGAATGATCTAGAACCCATTCCAATAAACATTTTTGGACACTAAGGTCTTGAAAGACTACTTTCATTCACTGTAAGGCAGTGTCTGTGGACACCGGTAAAGACTAATGTAGCCTGCCTTGCTCTGATCCTGTATTTCTACACACGTCAAAAATACAAATAGTAAATTGGCTTTTTTTTCCTTTGCTAATTAAAGTTGAGCCCTTATACACTGTATACACTATAAAAATGTTTGTAGCTGCAATTTAATAGTATTGCCAGTGAAAAGGAACTTGTTCCTTTGTGGTGAAAGTTAAGAATGGAAGTATCTGGTCGTCTTAGCTAATTATGACATAGATCAGTGCTTAAGTTAGTTTTTTTGCTATCGTTTTCTTGTACTCAGCTGCTTAGGTTCAAACTGTTCTGACAACCTAAAAGGCAATGTTACCGTTTCCTTTCCCTTCTAACATGCCCTTTCCTTTCCATCACCACTTTCCAAAGAAATATTTTCAATCATGCTTCTTTAAAACCACTGCAACTGTACTGCTAGAAATCCAAATCTTGAGCGTAGGCTTTTAGCATGTCTAAAGCAAATGAACCCCGTGATCATTGCTGGGATTATTTTGATCCCCTTCTTACTCCCCTGCACATAAGACAGGGTACTACTGTCTCAAAACAAAAAACAAAAAAACAAACACACAGAAGAAAAACCCACCACTTGTTCTGATGCGAATGTTTGCTACAGAATCCTTCAAACGGATTGTTTATAGGATAAATTCCATGAGACTGTATGAAGCAGCCTCTCGAATTTGATGAAGCATTTAAAGAAATGTTGAAGTTTACTCCAAGGAAATGAAAACAAAATTGCTCTAAGTCTTTTGCCTCGACAATGTTTTTTTGTTCCAGAAATCCCCATCACATTTTTTGTTTTTCCCTTCTCCCCTAACAACCTGAATGGAGATCTCTTCTTAGAGAGTTGCCCCTCCTGCTCCTATTCACCATTCACTGCAGCAGATCAAGACTGCCTGCTCCTTCCACTCCCTGTTTTTCTGATTTCATTTGCTTGCTCTATAAAACGGCAGTTGTCTGTTAAGTTGACACTGATGCCAACTTTCTCAGGTGCAATGCTACATAAGCAGTCCCCTCACATACAGATACACTCCCATCCCCACACCGGAGGGGGATGGGGGGGCACTGCTAAGAGCTCAGATTCAAACACCCTCCATGGTATTTGGAGATTTCACTTCGCTGATTAACCTCTGCATTTGCAGGACAGCCTGGGAACACGAGGCAACCCTCTCCCACGGCAGTCAGAAAACGTGCGCGTGACTGCACGGCACTAAGCCGATCAACATTTGTGCATCTTACAATGCAACGTATAACAAGGCCCTCTGCCAACTTGCTTTCTGCCAGACACCGCAACCCCCATGTGTAGCCACCCTGCACCTAGCTGGATCAATATGAAGGCTGAAGCTTCTGTGTACGGCTATGCTGAAAATCCTCCGGACTGTTTCTGAATTGCTAATTGCAATAGCTCCAGCACTCGCTCGGAGATGGTGAAAGCTCAGAGGCATTTCTGTAGAGCTCGAGAGCACCTAGTGGGGCTTTGCTACCCACCACTTCTTAAGCAAAATGTCAGATATGCCCAGAGCTCTAGACAGGACTGCAATTAAGCAGGGATTTGCAGTGCTACTGCCCCCTGCCTACCCCCCACCCCACAGCGCTTGCTCGCTTGGTTTTTAAGTGCAACAGTTCGCACAGTCACCTTTGCAGTGAACATGTCAGAGCTTTCTGCCTCGGTGACGGCTCCTAACAGCCCACTGTGTGCGTGTGTGCGCGTGTGCATGTGTGCACTAGCTAATCTGCATCTGATTATGTCACTCCAGCTCCTCTGGCTTGGGGGAGGAGGAAGCTGGAGAAATGAAGGCTTCACATCCCAAATGTCAAGCTGTGCTTGAAGAATGATAGAAGACAGGCTTGCTCTCTTTCTCCCTCCCTCTCCTGAATGCATGCAGCCAGATAGCAAGGAGCCAGAGCACCTGAATGGAGTTCTGCCACCCCCTGCTGGCAGAAAGGGAGTAAGGGGGGGAATGCCTGGACTTTAACCCAGCAGCAGTTCAGACCCCTTCACTTCACTGAAAGATTTTTTTTTCCTCCAGCTTCCCTCCCTAAAAAAAGCAGCGTCTGCAACACACAACACGCCACACACGCATGCACATACACACAGGCACGCCCATGGCCCTCTCCCCATTCTGAAAATTAGCTTAGTGATTTAAGATATGCTTTGGAGATGCTGGGAGTTGCAATCCCAGTTCAGCCCGAATGGCAAAAAACTTGCCTGAACAGTTTGAAACACTGCAGTTCATTCATTTACTACACAAAGGGGCCCTGTCCATGTGTGACATCCACAGGCACTGCCTCTGCCCTGCAACTCCCCCGCCCCTGCAACTACAGAAGCTGAACTCCTGAAGTCATCCTCTAGGTAATACACCCACCACAGCCAATCTCGATTTCAGGGAGTGTGGCTCCCAGCATGTATGGGCATGATGTACAGAGGAAGATGAAAGCCAGCAGTTCGTACAGGTGTAACCTAAAGGTGATTTTGTTCTCTCCGTACCTGCCTCTTCAGACTTTTTTTTTTTTTACATGAATAAAATAAAGACAGCATATACACACACACAGATGCAGGCTACTAGCTGCAAACACCCATATGCACTCCCACCATCCAGAACGACCCCGCTTCACCATGACCAACCATCCACTCCTATAGTCCCCAACTGCCTGAAACGAACACAGTTCTCCTCCACTTCTAATGACGGAAGCAGAGAGACCTTGACAGACGAATTTCAAGTATGACAGATCAGTGACAACAGGGGGGACTCCCCCCACCACCTCTTCGCCCCAAATCCCAAACAAACCCCAGAGGGACCAAACACAAACCAGATCTGTCTGCCCCTGCTTCCCAAATCTGGGCTGCAAATAAATAAAGGTTCTTCCAACAACAACACATCACACGCACACTCCCACACTACATTTATTTAAAATATTTTTAAAAAATGATAGCCCATGCAAAGCAGGTAAGTGCACTTAGCATCTTTCAGTCTACATTTGCATGTACGTGTACGTATACATGTGCATGTATGTGTATACACACACACAAAAATCCAAAGAAAAAATATGACTATGCAAAGCAGCTGAGTGTACCTAGCATCTTCCAGTCCGCATTGTGTATACATGTATGTCTACATGTATACATGTGTACGTATGCATATGTGCATGTATACGTGTGTACACACACCCATAAAAATCCAAAGAAAAAAGATGATTGCCCATGCAAACCAGCTAAGTGCACTTAGTAAATTCCAATCTATGTATATACATGTGTGTATATGTGCATGCGTGTATACATGTGTACATATATGTACATATATATGCATGTACGTGTGTGTATACACACACACACCCCCATGCACACACATTTAAAAAAAAAATTCAAAGAAAAAAGACAACCCATGCAAAGGAGCTAAGTGCACTTAGCATCTTGCTGTTTATATAGATGTGCATACACACACACACACTCTCCAAGGCACAGAAAGCCCCTGAAATGGGAAAGAAGAGAGGAGGACGAGAAATACATCAATCGATACCGATCTCTCTCCAGATAGACCGATAGAGATCTCTCTCCACCTGCCCCTACGCATCGCTCCCTCCAGCCCCCAGGTAGCTGGTCCGCACCTCTGTCCACCCCTGCCCTCCCCTCCCCGCACCAGGGGCTTCCTACGTCGGATCCAAAGCAGACAAGGCACGAAGTTTTGACGGGTCGCTCCTGCTGCCAGTCCCCTGGGCTCGCCCCCTGCCCCGGAGCGCAGCGTTGCCTACCCCGACGCCCCGGCCCGCGTGCCCCGCGCCGCCGCGGAGCAGGAGGCGGCGCGAAGATGCCCCCGAGCCCGGCGGGGACGCAGCCGCGCTCCTACCTTGCCCGCCGCCCAGGAGCAATCCGAGCAGGCAGAGAGGCAGGAGGCGGCTCATGGTGGGAGCTCGCCCGGGCGGACACTTCCCAAGTTAGCGGTGGCCGAGCGCCGGGCAACCCGCTTTGCCGCCTCCCACCCGCCTGCCCCAGCCACGAGCGCCACTCGCCAAGTGCGGCCGCGCCGCCCGCGCCGCACTATATCAAGGCGGCAGCGGAGGCGGCGGCGAGCGGGTATCCTTCCGCGCGAGCACTCGCACGCGGCCGCAGCACCCGGCTGCTGCGGAGGAGCGCGGGGCGGGATTCCTCCGCCGCTGCTGCTCTGAGGGGATGCGAGGGGCTGCGCCCCGCGAGGGGACGCGGGCCAGACCCCTGGCCTGCGCGCCGGGGGGGGTCAGGGGGCTCTTGTGTGTGTGCGTGCATAAGGGAGCACTGCTTCTTTGGACCTGGTTATGTATCAGAAAAGGAAAGGGAGGGGGAACCTCTGTTTTGCCACCCTAATATAATACTATACCTCATCCAGCCGGGCTGGTACCGGAGGACCTTGCTGGAGCTGGAAGGGATGTATTATTCCCCCCGCCGCCCCACCCCCCTGCAAGAAGAAGTGTTTATCTCCCCCCACGGAGACATTTTTTTTATTCCTCCCACCCCAGAAGGGGACCTGAATTATTTTTTATTAACCAGCCTGACTTTTGAAGAGGTGAAATAATCTCTTACCCTCCCCCCACAAGAGGTTTTTATTCCCCCCTGCAAGAGGACCTGGATTTTTGTTTTATTAACCAGCCTAACTTTTGAAGAGGTGAAATAATCTCTTCCCCCCACAAAAATAGTTTTATTCTCCCCCTGCAAGAGGACCTGAATTTTTCTTATTAACCAGCCTGACTTTTGAAGAAGTAAAATCATCTCTTCCCCCTCAAAACAGACTTTTATCTTCCCCCCCCACATACACACACACCAGAAGAGGGGATTTTTTTTATTAACCAGCCTGACTTTTGAAGAGGTGCAATCATCTCTTCCCTGCCCCAAGAGATTTTTATCCCCACTCCCTACAAGAGGACCTAGATAATTTTTTATTAAGCAGCCTGACTTTTGAAGAAGTGAGATAATCTCTTCCCCGCCCCCTCAAGTCCTCCTGGGTCTGAGATGCTTCAGCAGTAAACTTGTCACCTTCCCACCTGTGCCACATGCGCCAGAAGACAGCAAAAGCAGATATGTGGTGACAAGGAGCTTGTTCTGTGCCCCTAGCAAAAGACTCGGGTGTTATTTCTGCATGGTGCCCTTGTAATGTTTCCCGTTGTTTGTTCTTCCAGGTCTTTTGACTGAGGGGGAAATCAGTGCACAGACATTCAGTAATGAGATAACATGAGAGTACCCTCCCCTTGACACCTGCTGAGAGAGTCCTAAGAATCCTGATGTGTGGGAAGGGGAGATGATATCATTAGCGCAAACTTGCTGAGCGAAGCAAGATATGTATGGCTAACCCTCAGTAGATGGTATCTTAGAAATGTATACAGATAATCCTAATAAGGGAGGGGCAGGGGGGAAGGAGGGCACAGAAAATTAGGACTGGAAGGGACCCCCAGAAGTTATCTAATCAAGTTGCTTTCAACATTTTTTGTACAAGGACTCATTTGTAAACATCAATGGCCAGTTCTGACCCAGTGCCTCTCACTCCCAACTCGCTTCCCCCCTACTCCAAGGCCCTAGCCCCACATTCTGGGGCAGAGGGTGAGTGTGTGGGGCCCCAAGTAGCCCTTTGCAAGCTGGAACTCTGCCAGTCTGCAAGGGAAAAGCCGTGGTTTCCCACATTTTTTGCCTTTAAAGGAGAATCCATTTTTAAAGTTTGTTGATACATTTATGAAGTTTTTTCGCAAGCCTTTCATATATTCTTGCCACCCACTTTTGGGTCGCCACCCACAAGTTAAGAAACACTGTTCCTAGTCCAAAACCCTGCCCGAGGCAGGATCATAGATTCATAGATGTAGGGTCAGAAGGGACCTAAGTAGATCATCAAGTCCGACCCCCTGCCCTGGGCAGGAGAATATACTGGGCTCATATGACCCCAGCTAGGTAATCGTCAAGCCTCCTCTTAAAGACCCCCAAGGTAAGAGCCAGCAGCACTTCCCTTGGAAGTTGGTTCCAGATCCTAGCTGCCCTGACTGTGAAGTAGTGTCTTCTAATGTCCAGCCTGAAACTACTCTCAAACAACTTATGGCCGTTATTCCTTGTTACTCCGGGAGGTGCACAGGTGAACAGGGTCTCTCCCATTCCCCACTGGCCCCCCCGGTAAGTCTGTAGATGGCCA